GGAAAGTGGAGCTGGGAGAGAGAGTAACATGAGAGGAAGTTTCCACGAATGTCTTAGTCGACAAATGCCTCTCGTCACTCGAGGTGACCCAGCGCAGGTTTCACGGGCATGGTGGGCGTGGACGCCTGAATGACGCTCTTACTATTGCTTCTTTCTGGCCTTTGGAATAACAATACATACGTGTCCCAAGTTGCTCCGGGTCTATGACGGCGTCAAGCGGCGCCGCCACACCCCTGCCCGAGACCCCCTTCGCCACCGTCTGTTTCCACATTTCTGTACATTTAAGGTCCAAGTCGCCACCACGGCAGCACTGCAATGCTACTTCTCATGACCACGCCAGGCTCAGGAGACCGTCCTCCCCCTCCAGCTTTCCGAAAAGATAGATGCCCGCAATTACTGACAGTGGCAATATCAACACCGCACCTAATTGAAATCGGTGGGTAAGAAGCGCACTAATCAGCCATCCTATCAGAGATGCTAATGCCAGGGTCGCAACAATCGTTAGCATACGCTTTCTCAAGGTCAAGTGCTTGACCTGGTACTCGCGATTGGCTTGGTTTAAGCGTATCTCCGCCTCCGTGGAGAGCCTCAACGCATTCTGGAGCCGACCCCCCAACAGCTTCTTCTTTGCATCCAAGTCCTGCGACAATTTTCTCGCGAGCTCCATTGACACGTTGCGTTGATAAGCCATATCTTCCACTAGTGAACCTTCCATTGCGCCGGTCTCATCAGCACCGTCGTGGCCCTCTGACTGTTGAATGCCATGCGCGGCCGCCTTAGCCGTGGTCCTAGCTTCGGCGTGTTTTACGCTGGACATACTTTCAAGGCGGCCGATCTAGACGTGCGGGTGGTTGGGAGGACTTGCGATGGTTTGTCGCGATTTTAGCCACCAGGTCGGGGGCAGTAAGAGAGCAAGAGCGATGGGGTGGGACCTGCAGCGAGGCCGGCGAGGTACGCCGTGACTTTTGAACCGGACAAGTGAAGCCGCAGGGGGCCGTGTCCACCTGAGGGTGTAAGGTTGACGTATGTTTGCACCGAGAAGGTCATTTTTAGCCGGTGGTGCATTCTGTGCGCATGTGCGGCCTGTATTGACGGGCCGCTCTGTACTCACTCCCGTGTTGAAGGACCCTCTCGGCTCCATGCCCGAAGGAGCTCGACAGCAATTGGGAAGCATGGCTGTGAGTTATCACAATGCCCAAGCTTCCCATTCATACATTTCTTGACAGTATTAATTACGCTTGATAGTCGAGAGCAATTCAGCAGGTTTTTATGCAAGATGAATGGTTCTTATGGCATAAAGCAGAGAGGACATACTCTAGCTTGAAAGGGGTTGTTATCCTGCTCTATCAAGTGTCTCAAACACAGTTCCCCAACTTCGGAAATTAATTAGTTCTCAACCCTTCAGACACACAATAGGGATCCTGCGATGTGGAGGAGTGTCAGGAAGCCTTCGTCTCACCACGATATCGTGAACGGGGAAGGCAACGGCAAGTAGAGCATGTCCGAGCCTGTTCGTGAGGAAGTTCGGCGGCGGGCGGCCTCACTTCCGTCCGTGTCGTCCTCCAGGCGTCTTTTATCTTCACCTGTAATGCCTGGAGCGCCGAAATCAGTTCCGCAGCGAGAGGGAATGTGCGACGACAATGCTGCGAGAAGAGGGCATTTGGGGAAGCTGAGGCGGATCAGGCGGATCCCGTTTAGTGGGCGAAACGGCAGCAAGTCTATATCGGGAGACAGATTCCTTGTAGCCGTGCTCATGGTGGCCGTAACTTTGCTTGCCACCCTCTGGCCGATCTTGCGGGTGCAAGGCGATGTGGCCCCCCTTCTACACCAGCACGCAGCGTCCGTCCAACAACTAGGGCAGGTGCGGGCGGTGAGACGAGCTGCCACGGCCCAGCCGGGGGCAAGGACGGCTACGAAGGACGCGGGAAATCGGGACGCGAGCGTCGTGATCAGCACCATCGACGGCGGTGTCCACACGGTGGACGCGTGGACGGGTGAGCTGAAGGGTCTTTTCTACTCCGGCCCGCCCCTGTACTCCTCCTCCTTCTTCTTGGGCTCAGGCACGGGGGAGAGCAGCGGGGGAAAGCGAGCCAACGATGGTGTGAAGGCCCGGGAGAGCAAGTACTTTGTCATGCCCACTCTGGAGGGACGGATCGTGAGCGTCCGGGACGATGGGAGTCAAGAGGTGCTGGCGCCGAACATTCTGGAACTTTTGGACACGCCCGTCATGTCCTGCCCCGATCAGGAGGACTCGTGTGGGCTGCTTTTAGGGGAGAAGACGACAAAAGTATTCGCGTTAGATGGCGGTAGTGGGGACGTGAAGTGGATCAACAGCAAACACAGTGTTGGAGTGGGAGGAGGAGCGGGGGGGATGGGAGGAGG